AAAAACAACATAACGTTAAAAGCTTTGAAAGCTTTCTTAAAAATACATTAAAGAGCATCAGAATTGGTGTCCCTGGGTGGCTTAGCAGAATAAGAAGTGTCAAAAGTAGTTTTTGTGTAGTCCGTAGTTTCAGTGTTACTTTTAAAGGTCCTTTTAAGGCAGTTTAATTAAAAAAAATTCAGGATGCTTTATATTATTCTCCTAAACACTAAGGAAAACACTATTGTATTTTTTCCTGGTTATCTATTTTCAAGTTGCAGTATCAAAGTTGGTCACTAGAAGGAAACAGAGAGCCCTTCCTTTCATTTTCTGGTATACACACTGACAACACAACAATATTGACTGTCCAAGTACAGGCCAGCATCTGAACCAAAGTCCAAAGTCCAATGTTTACATAATTTCTAGGTTCCATGCTCAAAAGTAGCAAATTCAACAATTATCAAAGACAGCCTTACAGTTAATTTAAATCATGTTAAATTATAACCTTAATATCTAACCCAAGTAACAACTCATCTTCCATTAAGTCATTACAGCTCAATTTTACAAAATATTTATTTAGAATCGTGTCTCACTTAGTTCACCACAATTTGGTCTATAGTGATTAAAACTGCTGATGATATCTGTTCTGTGCCCCCAATACTTGATAGGTAAAAAAACCAGTACAATCAGGGTGGATACTAGCAAATTCGTTTGAGAACCACTTGTAGGACATCCACTGTAAAACTGCAATGCAAACATATACATTATCAACAACTTCAATGTCAGAAATCAAGTTTAATTAAGTACAACATCTCATTAAAAACAAGGTTAAAATACTTTCAAAGTTTATCATCTGCTAGCAAAAATTAGTTCCCTTGGCTTTCATGTACTACTGTGGCAGGAAACTACATAGTTAGCATATACACATCAGGTGCTGATTCGCAGAAAGAAAAGACATACCATTGATATTAAATAGCAAAGGGACATAGAGACATAAATCTCCAGTGATTACATAAACCTGTATCTATGATGCACAGCTGGATATATTCTTGCCAGTTGTTAAGATACAATCTGTTGCTTCAAAGCAGGTGCTAAAATTCTTTTCCCTGAGAGTTTAATTAAATGCTTCTGATGAGAACTGCATTCATTTAGCTTTAGAAGTTTGCAAATTCCATGGGGAAAGCTGCCCCCAGTCTTGGGATTCAATATTGTCAACTATACTACAGTCTGCAAGCTGCCCAAGTTTTTGATGTAGTCCATTTGATGTGCAAGTTACGGATCCAGCAAAGTTTTTGGCATGTTTTCTGAAGATCTCACATGCTGTTATTGTTGTTCTTACATTGAAATCCCACCTTCAAATAACAATAGAAACTGCCCAAACTCTCTTAAATCAGAACCTTTAAAGCACTCGACTTAAACGCAAAACCAGAATAGCAGCAGTAAATGCCAATAAATAAACACGTTGTTATGTATCATCAAGTCAGAAGTGGCTTCTACCAATCTTAATAGGGTTTTCAATGCAAGTCAGGTATTTGAGGCGTTTATCAGCTCTATTCCATCCACAGTGAGTTTCCATGGCAGAGTATGGGAAGCAAACCCAGGTCTCCTGAATCCTAGTCTATTACTCTATCCACTACAGTATGCTGGGTACCCAAAATATGTACATACACAGTCAGAGAACCAAGAAATACAAACCTGAGCACTGTCCAGATCAAAAGCCTTCTAAAATACACAATCCCCCACATTGTGGTGAAAGATCAAGATGAAAACTAGATTGCTATCTTGGAGCAATGAGTTCATCAGAGCAATCCTGATAGCTCTGATACATATTCCTGCCAAGCAAACTGTACATACATTCCTGTTTCAATCATCACATGGGCCTAGAGGGGGGGAGCCTGGTGCCTTGATTTTGTGATTTTCCTGGAAACTGTGCCCATTCCTCTTGGAGGCTTCGGGGAAGAAAGCCGGGTAGGCCTCCATGAATATTTTGCTAAGGAATGTGCTGTTTTTGTTTCAATCATCACATGGGCCTAGAGGGGGGGAGCCTGGTGCCTTGATTTTGTGATTTTCCTGGAAACTGTGCCCATTCCTCTTGGAGGCTTCGGGGAAGAAAGCCGGGTAGGCCTCCATGAATATTTTGCTAAGGAATGGAAGCTATTAGTCTCTTGGGAAACTTGAATACAGTAAATGTAAATATGTATTGTTGCTGTGTGCCATCAATTTGCTTCCAACTTATGGCATCCCTAATAGAATTGTGGAGATATGAAATGCTCAACAAGATACACCCAGTGAGCAGAGAGTTGAACTCCATTGTCCTGAGTCCTAGTCCAACACTCTATTCACAACATTGCACTGACTCTTAATTTATTAGTTGCATATGTATCCTACCTTTCCTCCAGTAAGTTTCAAGGTGGTGTTCATAGGTCTCCCTCTGCCACCCACAATAACTGCATAATAACCCTGTAGGATAAGTCAGGCCGAGAGATAATGGCTAATTCAAAGTAACCCAGTGAGTTTCATAGCTGAGTAGGGGATTCGAGTCACAGTCCAGCACTCTAACCATTATGCCGTACTTGAACAGTGTAAATGGTTTTGTATCCACAAAGTAGCACTTCCATCTGAATTCAGAAACTGAACAGAAGCTAACTAAGTTTGTGTAAAAGGAATAAAGGGCTCCACAAAACCAATCTTGAATAACTCATCCACGTAGCCACAGATAATCGCAATGGCAATACATGACAGCCCAAACCAACCATACTGTACTCTGAGAATTTGCTGAAAACCCACATTTTCCTAGAGTGGCCAATCTTAGACCTAAAATGGCAGTAGGGTGTGCTCAGAAAAAAAATGACATCTTGCTGAGTAGAAAATTCAGGATAGATACCCAGAGCTGTGATTTTAAAAAAAAGTGGTTCAAAAATACACCACAAATTGTACACATCCAGTTCAAAGTGTGTTAATTCTGCTACCTGACTAAAGTATGCAATTACTTATCTGGTGGCTTATTCTGCACAATTTATTCTGCCATGTGGAAAGGTAAGAAACTATGCATGGCACTGCAGGAACACAAAGGATCACAAAAAGCCGACAAATTTTCCAACGGACTTTGGGGATTACATTCATCAGTTCTTTAAAAATGTTATTTTTTAGCTACAAAGGCTAAAAAGAGCTAGTACAGTGCAGTAAATAGAGCAGAAGCCTATGAGCTAAGAGATCCAGGTTCATATTCTTATTCCACCATGAAGCTCTCAGGATAACCATAGGCCAGGACCTTAGTCATCCTCCCACCCTAACTCACAGATCAGCTGCATAGATAAAATGAGCACAGAAAGGGATGAACCGTCCCCCTTGTGTGCTGATCCAATCAATCAGGAGGAAGGATAGAGAAAAATAAAACAAATGTGCTATATTGGATGGTCCTGGAAATGTAGACCCAAGGAGTCAGAACATTATACAAGCAATCTGATGTTCTTAAGAGAGAGGACAAAGTCAGTAGAGTTTTGTCTGTGGTCAAGGTCCATAAGCAAGATGGTGTACCAACCTCCATGCAGAATAAGCTTCAGACTCTATTGGCATTCAAAGCAATATCCCCACAAATTAAAAAAATGTGTTAAAAGTGAGATAGCAATGGCGCTTACATCCAGGTTAAATGTTACATTAGCTGAAATGTCACATATTATTATGGGTGAGGCTGTGCAGAAAGAGACACACTCTTTTCTTGCCTACATGGCTTAATGGGTTGGTAGCTGCAGATGTTGACAATAATAACTAATGACATGCCACCAAGTCGATTCTGACATGGAAGCCTTTTTCAGGGATTTCTTGGTATAGGAGTACTCAGAAGTGATTTTCCATTCCCATCTTCTGGGGGTGCTCCGTGATTGTACATCATGTCCAAGGTTAAACAGGCTAGCACAGTAGGGAATCATTATCCAACCTATGCCTCTACAGTCAGATATGTAACTCATTGAGCTATCCAGCCAGTCCAGAAACAATCTTACTCTCATTACAAAGTGACAAAGTGGACTTTCTGATGTGCTATTAGTATTATCAGTATTTACTGAGAAAAACATGGAACACTTTCACAAGGGAGTCCTATTCTCTATTTGTCTCAGACATCAGATTAGAGGTACAACCCCCCCCTCCGGAAAAACACACACATTATGATATGTGCTTGGTTTAGAACACAAAAATACAAAAAGTTCATAGTGCTTGGTATTCATTTTTTGTATATCTCAAAAGTAGCTCTTTAATAACCAGTCCTCCAGAAAAGCAGCTAAACTTTTGGAAAGATTCACTGTAACAAATGATATTTAAATTCAAAAAGTTTGATGGAGTATATGACAAAGTGTAAAATTAATTATACCCCTGATTGTACTTATCTGATTATTGTTGTTCTGCCATCTTTCTCTCTTTTCTCTGTCTCTCCCTCCTTCTCCCTTGCAAAACTGACATAAACACTTACAGGCTTGAAAACTTGTTATTATAAAACTGTTGATGCTAATAAAATAGAACACACTGAAGGGGGGCTATTAAAGGCAATGAACAGTATAGACCACTGGTTCTTAACCTTGGGTCACTCAGGAGTTTTGGACTGCAACTCCCAGAAGCCTTCACCACCAGCTGTCCTGACTGGGGTTTCTGGGAGTTGCAGTTCAAAAGCATCCGAGTAACAAAGGTTAAGAACCACTGGTATAGACTAGTGGCCCTCTGCCTTTTATATATTATGCCTCACCAGTCACTTTGTTGAAGAATTGGGGTCTTTTCAGGACAAGGGGGAAAAAAACCCTTTTTCTTAAAGGAACATATATACTTTCGTATGCATTCCGTTACTATAGTTATTGCTTTTGGTGAATTTAAGAACATACAATATTTCCATAGTATTCTTTGGAGTAAAAAGAAAGAAGCAAAAAAATTCCACTCGTATTAAAAAAAAATCATAATACTACATCAGCAGATCTTACGACAATTCCACATCTCATCAAGGCTATACTACTATGTTCCACCAGTGGTGCACATACCAACAACTGCCAAAGACTAACACAGGGCATTCACACAGAGACTGGTAGGCAGATTATATTCCAAGCTCCTGTGCCTGGACAGCAAACTAAATCACCCAGGGAGTCAGGACCATGGATAGCTCTCTTTTTCCAACAGCACTTGTGTTCTAAGACCCAATCCAGTTCTTTAAAGAAAAAAAAAACCCTCAGGTTTATCAATGTGGGACATTGTGCTTTTCTATCCACAAGTCAAAAAACCAAGAAATAGCCTATTACATAACAAAGGGCAGCCTGAATGTTGACAATGGCAATGTCAGCAGTCATAATGGTCTACCCCAGTGGTTCACTACCTTGGGTAACCCAGGTGTTCTTGGACTGCAACTCCCAGAAACCCCAGCCAGCACAGCTGATGGTGGATGCATCTGGGAGTTGCAGTCCAAGAACACATGGTTTACCCAAGGTTGGGAACCACTGGTCTACAAGATACCCTCTTGTGCTCACTACTGTTCACAAAGAGACACCAAGTAGGGGGAAATCCCCAAACCTGACTGCCTTTTTAATCGGTTAACCATTGTTCAACCAAACACAAGGCAACGGTGTCATCTGAAGCCCAGTTTAAAAGTTACAATTTTGTTTGGCTTGCTCCAGTTTTTAGAACTGCTTTATAGAATGTTGATTCTCTCTCCTGCAAAATATCTGAGGTATAACTATCACACACCTCTAAGCTATGTGTTAAACACACAGAATTTTGTTGATAAGGTGAGAAAAGCTGAACTTTCCTCCCCGTAAGCTAGACCTTCTGCACTATGACAGCACTTGCTACTAACACTATGTGTTACATGCCATCAAATCACTTCTAACTTATGGAGATCCAGTGAACTAATGATCACTAAAAGGGCTTAATGTTACAGCAATGTTCAATCCTTGCAAATTAAAGATTGTGATTTCCTTCATTAATCCAATCCATCTCATGCAATGTCTTCCTCTTCTCCTACTCCCTTCCACTTTTCCTAGCACTACTGCCTTTTTCAGTGAATCTTATCTTCTCATGATACATTCAAAATATGATCGCTTACCCACTTTAGCTTCTAAAGAAAGTCCAAGCTTGATTTTACCTAGAATCCACTTGCTGGTACTTGTCAGGGCCCACAGTATCTGTGAGAGTCTCTTCCAATGCCACATTTCAAATTAATCAAGACTGTTACCTCCAGTTCACCCATATACAAATTGTGGTTGCTACTCGAGTCTGGCTCAGGACACAGAGGGACTGAATTTTTCAGGGCATAAACAAAAGAAAAATAAAAGTTAAAGAAGACAAGAATGTTGTGGCACCTTAAAGACCAATTGCTATATTTTAATGGAGATGTGGCATTCAATGCCAAACTGTCTGCTCTCTCTGTGCTTCCACAGAATTATTGAATACATTCACAACCCTGTTTAGAGCAGATTGTTAACAGCAAATTCTTGGGTCTCAGGCAATGCCGTGCTGTTAGAAGAAAATGATAGGAAGAAAGAGAGGATGTATGCACAAGGGAGCGAGGAGGAAGGAGAAGAATTGACATGCTAGATTCTGAAGGACACAAAATTTGATTTTCTACTTCAGTATATTGACAATAAGAGCTAAAGGAAATTAATCAACCACTTTGTGCTTGCTTTTGTTGATCGCTGGGAGTCCTCAGACTCTTTTGAGATGAGCAAATATAGATGGCAATGGCTGTCATGTAATTCTTTGCTCACTTAATTGGATTATTTCAGACTCAATGCTGCAAATCAATGCCCAAAATGCAAGAATTGCTGGCAGAACAACAACAACCTGCCATAACAACTTGAGCCTCAACGAGGTGGCTGCTTTCTTGACACACTTCAAAAATGCACAGAGGGCTCAAGAAACACTTGAACCATGTGTAGTGACATACAAGACAGAGCACTGATTAATGGCTAAATATTGTAAGTGGTTTAGAAAACGCACATGTTAGAAGAACAATCTATGAATAAATGTGAACATCTCAGAGAGAAAGAACATTGAGAATAAAATTAATCTTGTTCCTGAGACACAAAAGGGTCCTTTACTGAAAAACACAAGCTATTTTGCTAGTTAGTTACAAAATTAACTGGAGATTGCTGAATCTTACTGTAAGAAAACAATGTGTTATTTTTCACACATACATACATACATACATATGCATCACTGCAATATGCTATTGTGTTAATACAAAATGGGAACACGAAGGAATGAAAGGCAAACCTGCTTCCATATAAGACTTGGTTACTTACCATAACTATGGCTCTTCAAGTGGTGATCCATATATCCACACAAAAGGGGTTCGTGCCTGCATGAACACTGTTTCAAAAAGTTCCAGAGCCTCAAAAACAGAAGTGCCTCTCTGCCTATACTGTGCAAGCACAGCCCCACTCTCCCCAGTCCCAGTTGTCACCACAAGAAAAAAAAGAAGGGCAAAACAAGAGGCAAGGTGGACGGGATGGGTGAATGCATGGATCACCACTCGAAGAACCATAGTTATGGTAAGTAACCAAGTCTTCTTCTTTGTGCTATTCATGTATGTACACAAAAGGGGTGATTAATGAGCTATACTTTGGACGTGGGTGTTATGCCAGAACAGAAGACAGAAAAAACTTTCCAAAGATCTAGACTATAATGTCTAGACCTTTGGCAAATGTCAATGGTCCGTACCATGCAGCTGCTTGGCAGATCTCTTGGACGTCTACACAACAGAGGAAAACAGCAGCAGCGGAAGGCATTCCCCTGGTGGAATGACGGCAGAAAGCCCAAGGCAGTGGTTTGTTGGCCAATTCATAAGTCAGGTTGATAGCCTGGGAAAACATTGAGAGGAGACTGGGCGTCCTTTCCTAGGACCTCAGCAAGAGATAAAACATTTGGTTGTTTGTCTAAAGTCTCTTGTCCTGTTCAGGTAGAAGGCCAAGGTCTGCCTGACATCCAAAGAGTGATGTGACCGTTTCAGGTCACTCTGCAGATAAGGGTAGAAGGTAGGTAAGATGAGAGATCAAGACATGTGGAAGCAGGATGCCACCTTGGACAGGAAGGTGATGTCCGTATGGAGAGTGGCTTTATTGTGGGAGAAAATGGTGTATGATGAATCACACCTAAGAGCTGTGAGTTCTTCAGTCTGGCGAACCGACGTGAGAGCCACCAGAAGTGCCACCTTGAGGTTAAACAGCTGGAGATCCATCATGGCCAGCAGTGTTTGGTGAGCTGTGACAGAACCCGCAAGAGAGACCACAGATCATGTGGAGGTTTCACATCTGGGCAGGCATTCTGAAGACACTTCATGAATTTTTAATGGTTTGGGGTTTGAAGACATGTAAAGAGGAGTGGTCAGTTGGCTGGTGTTCGACTATCGCTCTCTGTCAAAGCCTATTTTAATGGTTTGGGGTTTGAAGACATGTAAGGAGGAGTGATCAGTTGGCTGGTGTTCGACTATAGCTGCAAGGTAGGCTTTGACAGAGAGAGTTTCTATTGCTTGAGGTGCAACAGGAAGGCCAGAAGAGTGAAGAGAGAGGTTGGAGAATCTGGTAGATTCTGTGATGATGCGTAAAATTGGAAACATTTCCACTTATAGGTGTATAGACTAGTCTAGCCTGTTTCTGAATGTTTGCGAGGAGAGGAATATCTTCTAATCAGCGAGTTTCAGGTGAGTGATGTGCAGGTGAAGGACTGTGCCCTGGTAATGAGAGAGAAGGTCTTGGTGCAGGGGCAGCCTCAACCTGTCGGTCCCTGTAAGGAGTGGTAAACCACTGTTGACGTGGCCAACACGGGGTGATGAGTATCACACTGGAGTGGTCATGGAGGACCTTCACTGTCGGTCCCTGTAAGGAGTGGTAAACCATTGTTGACGTGATCACCACAGGGTGAGGACCTTCGCAATTGTTCATGGGATCAGCAGAAAGGGAAGGAAGATGTGATGATGAGCCAACAGTGTGATGTGGCTATTAGGCTGCATTAACAGAAGTGTAGTCTCCAAATCCCTTGAGATACTAGTTCCTCTCTATTTGGTACTGGTTAGGCCTCACGTTGAGTACTGTGTCCACTTCTGGACACCGCACTTCAAGAAGGATGCCACCAAATTGGAACAAGTTCAGAGGGGGGGGCAACAAGAATAATCAGGCGGCTGGAAACCAACCCCTGTGAAGAAAGACTGAAAGAACTGGGCATGTTTGGCCTTGAGAAAAGAAGACTGAAGGGAGATATGATAGCAGTTTTCAAATACTTGAAAAATTGTAATTCAGAGGAGAGCAGGATCTGTTCTCAATCAGGACATGCAATAATGAACTCAAGTTACAGGAAGCCAGATTTTGGTTGAATATCAGGAAAAATGTCCTGACTGTTAAGAGCAGTACAACAATGGAACCAATTACCTCGAGAGGCAATAAGTGCTCCAACACTGGAGGCATTCAAGAGAAATTTAGACAACCACCTAGCAGATATCCTTTGATTTAGATTCCTGCAATGAGTAGGGTATTGGGCTTGATGGCCTTATAGGCCCCTTCCAACTTCATGATTCTATGTATAAGAGGCTCCCAGTCCAGTCCGTGGTGAAGGTGTCTCCCAGAAAACCCTAGGAATGGTTGCCATGAGTCTTTATTTGTTTGTTTGTTTGTTTTGTCTTGTTTTTTGATGGCACATAATTATGTTTCTGGCTATATGGACCAAATGACAGCGCTTGTATGAAACCATGGAAGAAAGCTAGTGCCATCATGGCTAGCCTGAAGGCAACTGATTGGCCACAGAGGGATCTTTGGTCTGGTCCAGGGAAGGGGTCTTTAATTCCTTCCTAACCAGAACATATACAGAGCTTTCCAAGGTGGTCAGAAGAAAAGGTGTTTGGACTGTGGGTGGCCCTCTGAACCTCTGAAGCACATGACGCCCCTGAACAAAGGGACCTTATGCATCTTTTATCCAGACAGAACCATTATTCTCAATAAAGAAACATGGTGGCAGTTAGAATTGTTGACATGACCTTAATGAAGGGATTACTCAAGCAAATATTTATACAAACGTCAGCCAGTTAGAAAGTAAAAATTTTTACTTAC